TTCATTTCTGGAGCTTATAGCTGGTTTTCGGGCAGCAGAATCCCACCAGCCTCCTCACTTCTGGAGCTTCTAGCTGGCTTTCGGGTAGGGATGGGTCACAAAGCCAGCTAGAAGCTCCAGAATAACCGTTTGTCCCCCCCCCCCCGGGGCCTTCCTCCCGTCCTACGCAGATGGGTGTGCAGTATATGTATGTATGTATGTATGTATGTATGTATGTATGTGTGTGTATATATATATATATGTATGTATGTATATAAAAATATGTATGTATGTATATAAAAAATACATACATACATATACATATATACATACATACATACATACATACATACATACATACATACACACAATAAACACCCACATATGTGTATATATATATACATACATACATATATAAACACTGAGAGAGATCCGAAACATGCAACATTCCTTGAGCGCAGGTCTATTTCATCGTCGGCGACTTCGGCCTCATGTTTGGGTGGTTGGTGGCTGGTGGGCACAGCGGTTCGGGTTATAATTATTGCAACCCCTCCCACCCGCAAGGCCGCCCATACCTTGAAACACTGGGCGTTCCGAGGTGCACTTATTGAGGCTTGTTCCCGGCCCTCCCCAAGGCTGATCGATGCTCCATGATGCACCATGAACCTGCACACAAAGACGCATATCATATACACACAGATACATGTACATGCACACATTCGAGACACATACATACATACATACATACATACATACATACATACATACATACATACATGCATGCATACATACATACATACCCACATACATACATACGCTTATACATACACATATACCTACACACACATATACATACATGCTTACATATATACATGCATGCATGTATGCATACGTATACATGAGCATCTTTACATATATACTTGTGTATGTATGTATGTATGTATGTATGTATACATATGTATGTATATACACACACACACGTACAACACATAGTTATAATACATACACAGCGACGCACTTGTTATGTAATGTAGCTAGAACTTATAGTTGTGAGAGACTTCAGAAATCCGGGAGTGGGCGGCTTATATGAACATTCACAATCATGATTGCACCGGTTTGTTCTGCAAACAGCCACAATGAAGAAAACGACCCCGAAAAGCTAGCGTCAGAAATGCGTCGTTAATCGTGCCTGTGGGGCCTCATGGTCCCTGAAGCTGTGTTGTGGTCCACGCCCCCCACGGTTAGAAAGCGTCAAAAAACGTCAGGTGCTATCCTTGTATAAAACAAAGAGGGGTGTCGCAAAGCGTCAGAAACCTGATGCTTGGCCCCTCCTGTCCCCTCAGCTCTGCTGGGGCCCCAGGCACCCTCAGGTTAGAAAGGCGTCAGAAAGCGTCAGGTGGTATTTGGCCATAAATGTAGGGCTTTTGTGCCATGTTGCTGGTCCGCTTGCAACAACATGGATCTTTGATCATGCCTGGTTTTTGCAGCAGTTCATCTTGAGTGTAAGAGAGGTTCCGAAGCTTAGCAGCGAACCTTGTGCAATGGGGGAAGCGAAGACCGAGCTTGCTACTCAGGAGGCACAGCCCTGGGATCTATGTACCCCCAAGCTAGCCTACCCCAGTCTGTGTTACACCCGTGCACTCAGGCTTCCAGGGAGCCACATTCACAAACCGCTTATTCCTCCGGAGAATTATCTCTGTATACACCCTATAGGACCCCGGATATAAATAACCCGGACTTATCGCCCTGTTGTGTAGTCAATGATGCTAGCGATCTGAAAGGTCAGAGGGTCGTTTCCTTCGGGATCCCTTCGGTAACGTAGGTTTCCAGCTTTGGGCTTATTAATAAGATCCTCACCCCATAGCACCAATATCTCAGGGCCTTGGGGTTCCTATGTTACCAATGTTTTCCTTCAAGATACCAACGGCAAAACCCTGTAGTCATTAACCCCCCTTAAACCGCACATGCCTGAAAACCCCGATGGCTTGGGGGGCCTTGCCGGGTTATAGACCGTACCTATAGTCTCCATTGTAGTTTTTTGTTGATGAACCCTTTCTACAACTAGGAAGCTATAAGGTAACCCATCAGGAACTACAATGGAGACTATAGGAGTACTACCGTATATCTACCTATTTATCTATCTATATATCTATCTATCTATCTATCTATCTATCTATAGATAGAGGTACTGACTATTTTACAGCCTCCGTCCTGTGGTTGGATCGAAGACAAGCTAGCACTATTAATCCTACAGGGAACGCAGTTATGATGGTGTAGCCTGTAAAGCAAACGAACAAGTACCTGATAACCCCTAAAATCCGAGGACCTGCTAACCATGCCAGCCTCCCCTCAAGGCCATTGTCATTGACCTCGAGGACGACACGTCGGAAGTCCTGTCACCGGAGCACTTTGTGACCCCGCCCGTGAAGCGATCTTATCAATCCCCGGCTCCAGAGGATTTTTTAGGGAGGGCTGTGCATGGGAATTATATATAGGGTTGTTTCTCGAGCGGAGGGGTCTGTATCTCGATCAAAGTGAAAGCTGCTGGCAGGACCGGCGACCACGCCATATGGACACCCAGACTACTGTGCAGTATGAGGCTGAGGCAGTCAGCCCGTGCAACCTTTTCGAGGTGGCATCGCCGGGCCAAGCCGCCCCGCCTACGGATCTGCATGTTGGGGCTAGCTTTTTGTCCGAAGGCAGCAAAGGAGACAGCAATGAGAGTCTCGATGCAGTCCCGCGACCCAGCAAGAAAGCTTGCCCTTCTGCGTGCAAGAGTGGGCCGTGCAAGGAAGAGCGATCGAAAGCTCCTGCGCCAGGGTTGCCCCCGAAGCAAGAGGATACCGCTAGTGCTGCTCCTCCCAATGCCGATCCGATGATGAATCGCAAAAGGGTGCCCCCTCCCAGCAGCAGCTCTCCGGCTGCAAGCAAAGCTTGCCCAGCTGCGCCCCCACCCGTGCCCAAGGCAGCCCCTGTGAAGCAGTGCAAAGTGGATGGTGAGAACAACCTGCAGACTCCAAGCCCGAAGGTGGCTCAGCCTGTGCTGGTTACCCCGCCTGCACCGGTGCCCACCCGTCGCCTGCGGGTGTGCACGAAGACCCCGCTCAGCGAAGTGGAGAAGAAGAATGAGCAGGCACGTGAGCCCGCCGGAGAGGCTGATCTCAACCAGGTTCCTCATGAATGGGTGGGGATGGAAGAGATCAAGAAGAGCTACCCGGACATCGGGATCGATGACTTCTGCAACCAGAAGCTCTTGGCTGGAGAGTATAGGGTCGTCAATGGTAATCTGAGTTTCTGGGTGCCTACAAATCTTCAGCTGGCGGTCCCAGGTGATCGTCCTCCTACCCCCGCACCCACGGCAGCTGCGGAGCCAACAGGTTCCCCCGCGCCCAAAGCTGCCGAGCCAACAGCTTCCCGTGCGCCCACAGCCAAGGCCGAGCCTTCCCTCCCTTCCAAAGCGGAGCCAACAGGTTCCCCCCCGCTTGAAGCTGCCAAGCCAGCTTCCACGCCGACAGCCTCCGAGGTTGCAGGTTCCGAGCCCAAAGAGGTTGCAGCTTCCGAGCAAGCTGTCGAGGCTCGCTCCGAGCCCAAAGCTGCCGAGGTTCCAGGTTCCGAGCCCAACGAGAGTTTGACGGTGAAATCAGAAGCTTGTCAGGCTGCGCCTGCCAAGCCAGTGGCGGTTCCAAGCAAGGCACCCTGTGTTCCGAAGCCCAGCGCTGCAGTGAAGGCCCCCGGCCCTAGCCCCGTAGCGCCGAAGCCTTCAAGCCCACCCCCGGCAGCATTGCCGAAAGTGCCTTGCCTTGCAGCCTGCCCCCCTGCTCCAGTAGCTCCAAGCAAAGCAGTTGCCACAGCGACGGAGACTGATGCGACCCAGCTTGCAAAGGCTCCAGCTTGTGTTGCCCCAGTGCCTTCCCCTGCAGCTTGCCCCCCGGCTCCCGTGGTTGCAAGCGAAGCAGTTGCAACGCCGAAGCAGAATGATGCGATCCAGGTTGCAAAGACCCCAGCCATCCCTGTGGAGCCGGCAGCAGCTCCGGTTGCAGCCCTGACAGGTCCACCCACTGCAGCTCCGATTGCAACCCCGGCAGGCCCGCCCACTGCAGCTCCGGTTGCAACCCCGGCAGGTCCACCCACTGCAGCTCTTGAAAAGGCTGTAAACCTGCCCCCACCTGCCGCTGAGAAAGCCGCCTTGCCAGCAAACATGCAGATTAACGTGAGCCCACAGGCCTGGGTTGATCGCTGCAGGATGTACGACTTTGAGGGGAAAGCCTTTAGGCTTGAGCCGGGGATTTGGGGGGTGGGGGGATCGTTAGGGTTTATAGGGTTCATTGTTTAGGGTATGGGGTATCGTTTAAACCCTACCATAAGCCCGATAAACCCTCATAGCTTTAATCTTAATTGTATACAGGGTCGATAGAGATTGATAATAGGGATAGGGTTAGCTAGCTATCGTGTTCGAAGCCCTAACCCTGTCAACCCTCTACACTCAAGTTTCTTAAAGCACCATCGATTCCCAAGCATCTTCTAAACCTCCAGGCAGTTGCTGTGATACCGGCGGGCTATTCCGATCGGCAACGCCTCTATGCTTCCTTCAAGAGGTCCCCGGAGGGGTGTTTGCGTGTGTACGTGTGTTTGTGTTTGTGTTTGTACGTGTTTGTGTGTGCATGTGCGTGTGGGTGTTATGAGAGCGAGAGAGAGAGGGAGAGAGTGTGTGTGTGTGTGTTATGTGCAATTAAGGGGAGTCACCAGCGAGGGCGTCACGTGCGTCCCGAAAGAAATCAAAGATGCTTGGCAGACGGCAGTACAGTCGAAGAGCAAGTCGAGCAAGACAGCATTGTTCAACAAATTTCTTTCTGCCGGTGGCGACTGGAGCAAGCGCCCCGGCTACACATCACATATATAGATGCTGAACAGTCCTGGAGATTACTTTCGAGATTATTGTCACACCTCTTCAAACTGTCAACACGAGGCTCACAGTGTCCTTCACCCGGACGAAGACCGAGAGCGACAAGGGCAAGAAGAAGATGGGATTCTCGGCAGACACAGGTTATGCTACTGTCACGTAGAAATCTGATCTGCTACTTCGGGAGGCTGGAGGACGAAGCATCAGCTTCGCCAGCTTTATGGCGATGACAACATCGTGAACAGCATCGTTGAGGCTAAGGTTTCTGCCGGGCACTGGCGAGAGCACCCGGACCTCCCTGATGACTCCTCTATGATCCTCTACTATGTTGCGGGGCCCAGCTCATGCATGCAAGCACTCCTTTAGTTGGCTCTCAGAAATTGTAAAGAACTTAACTACGTGGCTTCTCCTAGGTCATGGTTGATTTGACGCAGATCCACGAGGAGGAAGTTGCTGACAAGACGCAGTGGCAGATCAAAGTCGACATGGATGCGTCCTCGCAGGCGGTTTCTATGGGTACCCATTTCCTATGTATACACCCTATTTATAAACCCCAAAACCAATGATTGAGGCCCTTATTAAACTACCCTATCTGTGGATGCTCTCTTCTATCGGCCGGGGCATGTGTCTGCCAGTGTCGAATACTCTCTGCTGGCTGATGACAGTGCATGTGTAATGTCTTGGCTGCTAGAAACACGTACAGATTACTCTACAGTCGTAGGCCTATCCCATGAACTTTGCAAACCCTAGAAACACCGAACACCCCGAGATTTAATGCCCTATGCCAACAAAAAACCCGAACTCCGAAACCCCAAATGCAACAACCAAATTCTCAGCCCACAAACCCGCGACGGCCAACAACAACTGCAGACTTAAAAATTAGCAGTAGCCGCAGATAGAGCCGCGAGAACCCACCACTCGCCATCCTTCATTATTTACCAGCTTTGCGCAGGCAGCTCAGGACTTCGGCGGCTGGGATGAGCCTGCTTCTTCTTTCGCCGCGCCGATGCTCACGCCGGGCAATCGTGGCTGCTTGGGCTTGCCAAGCTCGGGTTCGAGTGATGGCGTGCCGCCTGCTGAGGGCAAGGGGAAGGGAAAGGGAAAGGGAAAAGGAAAGAACAAGAGCGGGGAGAAGGAAGGGGAGATCATCCAGCGCAAGGCTTCCAAGGAGAGCCTTAAATGCAGCATGAGCATTAATGCTCATCCATCATGAGCATCCGTTCCTAGCTGACCATTCTCTAAGGATGCCTGACGAGCTGTGGCCGCGGGCTGAGTGGCTCCGCGACCGATTGGAGTCGAAGCTTGCAGAGGCCAAAATGTGGCCAGTGAAGCTGCACAAGTTCGAGCACCAAGCATCCCTGAGTAGCTGGGCTTAATCTCTGGGTTGTCACGTGCACAGGCTTATAGACTTATAGCAGATAGGCGCACATGAACCATCGAGGCCAATCCATGGAGACTCACGCCAAAGATTTGGAGACTTCCTATCACCAAATCCAATCGATGATCCGAGTCATTCAGCTGCATGTGATGCAAGCCACCTAATGTCTTTTAGGAAGCTTGGGAGCCCAAAAATAATTATGATCCGGTATGTTATAACTTAAATAGCCTATCTCAGGCCTTTTTACAGTTGCACGTATCACCCTTCCCGGCGAATATATTATCATTGGTCCAGTCCTGCGCTCCCTTTAGGTGTGTGCTTACTTGACCGTAGGATGTGGCATTTCAAGCAAATAACATGCATGAAAGGTCATGCACTGTTGTGTTTGTAAACTGGAGCTTCAGGAAATCAGGGGACTTCATCCATGGCAGTTAAATATAGGATACTGGTTATAATGATCCCCATAAATTCTGGTACCATGTCTACGCATACTCATACATGCACTGAAACCTAGCTGTGTATTACCGATCCATTTTTTAGGGCTTATAGGGTTTAGGGTTTAAGGGTTGAGGGCTTATAGGGTTTAGGGGTTCAGGGGTTTGCGCCTCTTATAAGCCGCCCAACCTTCAGATCATCTTTTCTCATGCATACAACCTACCCGGTTACCCATACCCATACCTCCTCCTCCAGGCTCGCGCCACCGCCGATGAGGTCGCAGTTGATGCATCCTCCCGCCTGGCTGTGGAAAGGTTGCAGCTCTACGAAGAGGATGCCCGAGTTGCGACCAATGTTTGCCGCAAGCCCAAGGAACCCAAGACTGGCAAAGGCAATGCCTCTGCCGCTGCTAGCTGAATGTGCGAGGTTGCTCATGATGATCATGGTGATGATGCGCCACACATGTGTGCCGCAGGGTTGCAAGCATGCAGTGGGTCCCTAGCAGCTAGCAGCTAGAAGCTATAACATTCCAAGAACATTTTGAAATACCGTTTCAGGCTCCTTACTTATAATAGTTGCTAGCAACAGGATCCGCTCAGATGCTTTCGGGGAACCCGTGTTAGAAACACGGGCTATGTCCAATTACACGTGGGGTTCACCTGCAATCAAAGCCGGAAGCGTCTCGATGCAAAAAGTGCACGGGGCTAGCAGCTCTCATGGGATGCAGCCAACTAGTCACGCCAACCAATCAGTGAGAACTCTGCCCCATGCAGGTCGCAAATCTCATGTCACCAAGCGGTTGCACGAGGACCACAATCCTAGGGCTGGGGTAGCGCCCCCATCCCATGAAATCCTTAAAACCAACCCCCCATATATGTAAACCATCCATATACATACATATACATATATATATAGATATAGATATATGTTTTAGTCAATAATTTTCAATCTATTTGCATGCATACATGGATGGCTTACATATATTACCCTAATTTCACCCTAGAAACAACCCTAATGCCCGAGCCACCATTTTTACATCCTTGAAAATACCCAAACCCGTGTCGAGGAACCTTCTCCGGAAGAAGATGGTGATTCGAAGAGGCGACGCCTCGGGAGCCAGGATCGTTTGGGGATGAATTTCTGAGAGGCAGTTACTCGAACCCTAAACGCCATTTTAGCAACCCTAAACCTCTATATAGGAAGTCACCTCGAATTCAGGGGACTGCCGGGCTCACCCTATTGTAGGAATCCCAGGCTAACAATTATTAGGGAACCCTGCAACATATTTTAGGAGTCCTATAACCATTATGTAGCAATCCCTTAAGCTATACAGTGCATTTACTTGCCTACGGTTCTATATGCGAGGATCTTGGCTTCGGGGAAAAGCTCTTGGAGGATTTCGCAAATGGACGGTGTTCAGCCCTTCATGAGCCTCAGTCTGGAAGAGTACATACAGCCGTTTTTTGCACGCTCTTTTCTTAGATTTTATCATTGTCATCGAGATCATGCATCAAAGGCCAATATCCTCCTGAATCAACCCTTGTGTTTGAGCTTTCTGTTCCGTGCCGGAGGCGAGAGAAATCGCTGAATCTGCTGTTTCCTGGTGCAAGCAACGTGCTGGCAAGGTGCCCCCAACGGATTTGGTGCAACGAATTTCTCAATGTGGCACAGCAGGCAAGCACAAGTCCAACTGTGAAAGGGATTTGCACCGAGTTGTGCGGAGTGTCAGCAATGCTCTAGATGTGGAAATCAATCACATCCAAGTTCGCTTTTGGAACCACAAGGATGGCCGAGAAGTTTGGGGATCGTTGCCGATCATCTGGCCAGACAAACTGGCCTCTGCACTTTATGCTCGCGGAGAGAGCATGTTTCAGCATTGCTTCGCACCGCGACCCAGCGAGATTGAATCCTACTGGAAACACGTGGAGCAACACTGTCGATGGTTTGACGACCACCCTGGCCGTCAAGCGGCCAACAAGAAACGTCTTCTGCCGTTCTGCTTATATGGTGATGAGATCAATGCTTTCAAGAATGCCGAAAATGGCTCCATTTGCGTTCTGGGCTTTGGGTCAGACCTGGCCTATGGTAACCCGGCCTTGGAGCGCTATTATCTCTTCACTGCGTTCTCCGAACACAACTCTACCGAGAACACTTTTGATGACATTATCAGAGCGCTAGTGCCCAGACTACGGTACATGTTCGATGAGACAAGCTTCAACTGGTGTTCTGCAGGTTGGAGATGGACCTACTCCTCTACACAGGGGGACCTGAAGTTCATTACAGACCGTTACGGGTTGCACAACTTTCGGAAGAATCGCATATGTGATCTATGTGAGTGTGTCAAAAAAGATGACAACATAGCTATGACTCTGGCTGACTTCAGGGAGACAGCTGCTTACCGAGCTACGCATTACACCCACCAAGATTACATGCAAAGTACCACGCCGGAGACACGTATCAGAGATGCATTTTTATAGTTATTGTTTCCCGTAGTTTGTGTGTTTTGTCCAAACATCCTATATACAGTAAAGACCTATCAGCTTGCCAGCCGTTCTCAGGATCTCCGCTTTTCGAACTGGATGGTGTCAACCTTCATAGATTTCTACATGATCCCTGCCATGGTCAATTGCTGGGGACTGGCAAAAACACCAACGGAATCCTCGCTTATAGTCGGACCTATGTGTTTCTTTGTATTCTGAACCTTTCAGGGCTATTTTGAATCACCCACAACCATGCTATGCATGAGTGGTTGTGCACTATAGGGCTTGGAGATAGGCTTAGAGCTATAGCTGTATGAGCTCGTTGTTATAGGTAATTTACCTTAATTCATGGACGGCTATAGCATTAGGGAAAGGTTTTTTGAATACGCTCAGGTTCATGTCTCACATATTTATGCGAGCGGTCCTACTTCGCTCCCTGGCCGGAGCGCGGAATATACGAGAACGTCATGTCCGAGATGCTTCGAAAGGCGCATGCAGCGTTCTTGCGATGGCTGAAGCAGAACAAGCTTCAGTGCTCCCAGCCGAGGTTTACATGTGCAAGATTGTCTCGCAGGTATCGGGTTCTCTACCCGAGCATGGCTGCGAAGGCAGCACAATCGAAGATGATTTCGTATTGGCTGGCCATGGTGGCTGGCGACTTGGCAGCTCGAGCTGATGCAACCCCCACAGACAAAGCTGTCAGTGCATGCATATATGCCTACGTGGACACCCTCCGGAAAATGGACGAATATCCATTGTTGCTGAGCGAAGAGCAATCGAATGAACTGTACAATTCTGGAATGCGACACTTGCGGCTGTACAGCTACTTGCATCGTGAATCAGCGAAGAGGACCGGAACAGAGGTCATGCGAAACTGCTGGCTGCTGCAGCCAAAACACCATTTCTTTTACCACATGTGTCGGGATTGCAAAGAGCAACGATTGAACCCCAGCTACTATTCCTTGCTCACGGCAGAGAGCTGGATCGGATACATCGGCAGAGTAAGCAGGCGAACACACCGATCGACGATGACAGCCCGAACGCTACAGAGATATTGCACACTGTTGTTCTTTCGCTTGAAGCGAATTGAGCGCAACATTTCCATTTGACTCTTTCGCTCGAAGCGCGAATGTTTTTCAAACGACCCATTGGGCCGGTTTGAGCCAAAGCTTAGGGGTGGGGTTGTCAGTCATATATACAACGGTTTCATATATACCCTCTAGCCTCATCCACAACTCTATGTAACCCAAGCCTCATCCCCTCTGAGCTTCCAGCTCGCTGCTCGCGAACGGGAGCTGCGCTGCTGCACCAGCTGCTGCACGATCTTTATGGCCGGCAGATAAAGTTGAAGAGTCGTAGGTGCATGGGATATAGCGACAATAATCGGTGTTATAATCGTGGATGCCCTGCTGTTATCTTTGCAATAACCTTAGACAGCGATGGTGTGAATGATGTACACCGTTATGTTGTCGTATATGTTCGAGATTGACTCATCGTGGCTGCAAGGCTGGAGATCTTGGGGGTTGTTAGGGGCCCTCCTGGGGAGGGGTCTGACTCCTGGGCCCTCAAGCTTCTCGGCCGACGCCCCCACAGCTGTTAACGTACCTAAAGGTATCAGGACCCTTTGGGGTAGGTAGGTAGGTAGGTAGGTAGGTAGGCAGGTAGGTAGGTAGGTAGGTAGGTAGGTGGGTAGGTAAGTAGGTAGGTAGGTAGGTAGGGTAGGTAGGCAGGTAGCCAGGCAGGCAGGTAGGTAGGTAGGTAGGTAGGTAGGTAGGTGTGCATACAGATCTGCTGAACAGGCTGCTCGTGACTGGGAATCGGTAAACCAGTCGAAGCAGGCTTCGGTTTTCGTTATGATGCTTAGGTGCGCGTTCCTCTTGAAATTCAGACGGGCATATTGACCCTACATTCTGCCAAGACAAAGCCAAAATTAACCTTGAACATCATGAACCATTCGCGGTTGCTGATCATAGGTACATTGCTGACTTCATGTCTTTGGCATTCTGCGTCGTTTCGTCGTTGTCTTTGTCACGTGAACTCGTTTCGTGCCACGTGAAAGCGGTGACACAAGGTGGATCTGAAGTATATAAGTGGGTTTTGTAAAACATTTTTTGCACGTTATTTTGTAATACCTTACAATAACCGGTATACCCCAAAACCCTATCCTGATTCTTCAGGCCGTATACGATTCGTAAGGCCCCTAAACCCTGAACCCTAAACTCAATTGAGGAAGGACCTTGTAGCTAGTCTTGCCCTGCTCTCGCGCCGCACACGCTGCGTCCTGGCTCTGGGGCTCTTTAAAATTTTCCGATGCTTTTCCCACAGATTCTGACACTACTGTGTTGATGGTTCAGCGTTGAGCGTTTTAGGGTCTCGGTAGCAAATTTGGGCCCAGTTCGGCTTCGGACTGGGGTCCGAGACTTACACGGTTTAGGGCTCCGGGCAAGAGGTTTATAGAGTTTCAATGGGTTCATTGTAACGTCTAAGGTTTGAGGTCCAGTCCGTCTAGTCTAACGTGGCCCAGACCTTCCAAAAACCTTTAAACAAGGAAACTACCTTAAATTAAAGCCGGGTCTCTAATATGATGTAAAGTATACCGACACCCCCACAAGCAAGTAAAATAATGGCCAAACAACTGCCCTGAGTGAGATCCTAATTGAAGTTGCGGTGCTAGCAATTTTATAAAATACCTACTTACCAAGTCCCTCGACCACCCTCAAAGCAGGGCTATCCTCTAGGATCTCCAGTAGTGTAGGCATAAAAGGGGCTCCCCTATTGGTACTGCATAGTTTCGTAAGGAGCCTAAGATTCCAAAAAGGAGGAACAGACCCACTGGGAGAACAAACCCGGCCTAGCCCTTATGATCATTCCCGTTTTGGGCCGATGGTCAACTTCAATGCTCAACCTTTACCCCGGAACCTGAACTCTAAACCCTAGACCCATCCTAAACCCCTGAGCCCTTAAACCCTGAACCCTTAAACCCGAACCCACGAATCTGCGTGGGGTTAAGATGCAGGATCAGAGGCTGGCGGAGTGTTCCAACATGGTACTACTTGGTTTGGGTTTTTAGAAGTTAGGGTTCAGGGAATTTTGTATGGAAGGATGCTGTTAAGGGATTTTCATTGCGGGCGTGCAGGATTTCAGCCGTTGAAGATGTTGAAGGTTTGTCTGCGGATCCCAACACCTACTGTTTCATACCTTACAACGGAACAGCCACAACCTACTATTTTGTAGGATTTGAAGCATGTAAAAACCATAAGCACGAAAAAGCTATTTTCAACTCCTGCACGTACGCAGAAAGCCTCATGAAGCTCCGAAAAACCTGTCAAGCATTATACATCTTATATAGCACCCCAACAGGCAGCGTAAGCAAACACGATGTCAGAAGACCCCATGGGACAACCATGCATGAAGCACAACATCAACTCAGCAAAACAAACAACTGGATAACCCGCAGAAAACACACATTCGCATAACGCATATCAGGAAATGAATGATTCAATATAGAAATAAACACATAAACACATAAATAGGAAAAATAAACAAACATATATAAGTATACATATATACATATATATATATATGCACACAGACACACACACACACACATGTATATATATATACATATATACACACATATACATACATAGTATAGAGTATGTGTATATATATATAGATATGTGTGGTACGGACCTTTACGAATGATGTGATTGATTCGGTCGTTTGTACTTTGTAGACAAGCAACCCGGTCTAACCTACAACCCACTTCTCTGTGTGCTCTTACCTGCATCATGAATGCACCCGGTCCATTGCTCGGAAGCCTGAACTCCAACTGCTCACGCAGCTCGGCTTGTACCCTCTTCGCGACATCATGATCAGAAGATCAGATACAAGGATCGGTACCATCAGGATTTCAAAAGAAGGCATGAGTGACAAACCCCAAGAAAGGGCTGATGCCTGATGGGCCACGTAGAGCCTGCAAGAAGCTGTGGAGTGGCAAACCGTAAAAGGACATGATGGCTACAGACCCAAAAGGTCTGATGCGGCCCACCCTACAAGTCGGTTGGTCGGCGAGCCAAAATACCGTCGCCCTCCCTTAGGGCCACCACAACAATGGCCGAGCCACGGTTGACGTTGGGAAACATCACAATTCCGGCTGGCCTCCACATCCACTGTGATCCCACAAAATGGTCACCAAAACTGCTCTGCCGACAACATGCGCCTCCCGAGTGGTCATTCATGGGGACCGGTGAGTATGTCGCCGTGATGACCGTCGTACACCGGCATGCAAGCGAAGGCACCACAAAATCCAATATGACGGTATCAATTGCCGGAAACAGCTGTTCAATCTCAGACACAGCACGCCCCACCAACCGAGCACCTCAAACGAACAGCTCTCTTTTCCAAATGCAAACAGGGTGCGACTGTCCCCTGCGGACCCCTTGTGTGCGCAGCTTCTATCTTCGAGCTGCAACGAAAATTGTCCGCTTCTGCTTTTGCCATTTCGAGTGGAGGGCCACTTGAGAGCCCACGTGCGCACTTTATTATGCACTTCCGTAGCACGTTCGCGATTAAACGGTAGCCATGCCTTCTGTACCTTCTCAAATTCCGTGCATGGTGAGCACTGCCACTGCCATACTTTTTCAGACCACACTGACTTAGCGGTGAGCCTGGCGAGCAGAAGTCTGCTGTTGGTTTGGCTGATGGTTGATGCTTGCATTGCAAGCGCATGAGGCAGAGCTTTGCTCAATGTCAATATCAGCAGCTTAGAGTGCTTTTTACAATCTGCTGAGTTTGTAAGAGCCATGACTCAATTTCAGCGTGCATGGATGAAGTGCCTGCCGGAAGGAACGTCAGGCCTTGTCGACCTTTTGATGCAGCACCAGAACTAGTACGAAGGTGAACACATACTCAAGCCAACATAAGCTGTGAAACTAAGGCCATGATTCAGCGTGTGCCTGAAGCGCCGGTTGTTGAAGTACCATCGAGCACGATCAGGATCAGCAGCACGCCAGAGTATGTGCGAGATGCGTTGATTGGCTCCGGTTACTGTTCGATCCATGTCCTCGTTGGAAACCGCAGCCAGTGCAGCCAACGTTTCAATGAACTCCAGTCTGCAAAGAAACGGTTGAGCTGTCCATCCCTGCTAGAACTGTACGCTCTCTGCCGTTGGCAACTGCACCGGTTTCAATGTAGGTTCTGCGCATTTGTTCCTGCTGGCGGCTAAGTTGACGGCTATCGTAGCCTCTGTAAAAATGACCCCAGTGCTGAGAAAGGAGACTTGCGTCCACCATGTTGAATTTGTGCATGATTTTGCGGAGGAACACAGCTTTTGGTTTTTTATTTCCGCCGTGCCGCATGCCTGAGCGTATGTCAAGGACTACCCAAGCTAGCAAGCTTGACTGTGACATCTACTACCTCAGTCTTAAAGGACCAAGTCGAGTCTAGCTGCTCGTAGACGATGAGGACATGGATAGGATCAAGTGCCAAACATTGACTTCAACTCGGCCGAAAGCTTGGTTGAGGCGCAATCCGATGATAGGAGCTGCACTTTACCAAGCCTATCTGCCGGAAGCATTTCCCAAAGGGCCATGCAAGCATCTTCCGCCTTCTCTGATGCCACTGCACACATGCCAAGCATGGCACCTGCACGCCCTCTGACCGTGAGAACCCGCCTGAGCGCACGGTCGTCGTCGAAAGGGGCCGCATCTCTTTTTGCTCTATTATAGGTGCGCGGTAGGATAGTTGTCCAAGAACTCCCATGCAAAATTGCATGTTTGCATCGATAAAGATGACATGAAACTTCCTCAAATCGCGGGATGCTGTCAGCAACTTGACAGTCAGAGAAGCGACTGTGGGCGATGTAAAGACATCTTCGATGATTGGCCACCAATGCCGGACATCTGTGGTTCCTTGGGCGTAGTGTGAACGGTCTTCCCTCGGCCTCTGCGCTTTCCTGCCTGCGCTTGCGGCGTACTTCGGGAAGGAGGAGCATGGCGCAAGCGAGCCAAACAACACCCGATAGTGGCCTAGAGGCAGGCAAAGTTTGAGCTGCCTGTAACGCCACGCGCATCGTCACGACTACAAGCCAACTGCAACATGGTAGTGG